CCAGACGGGACCATCCCTTTGCCCAGCGTCACACGGTGTAAGACCCCATTTGTCACTCCGTTATCACATCGACTGTGGGGTGTCACAGGGCTTGGGTTCAAGTCACCCTTATTTTGCTTGATAATGGCCCCTAAGCCATTCACATAACTTTTATTGCAGTCTATTATTGTAACTGTTCTACTTATTATTAGTTACTGTTGTTACTCTCTTGCTGGGCCTAACTTATAAGTAATCCTTTATCATAGGCGCGTATGGATAGGAAAAAACACAGGCTGTGGAAGGTTCGGTGCTATCCACGGCTGCAGGCATCCACTGGGGGTCTTGGAACGTGTCCCCTGCAGATAAGGGGGACTACTGTATATATGAATTTTAAATGGCTTTTTTTCTAGTGGAAGAAGACTCAGGCAGAGAAGGGGCAAAGGGCAGAGGGCAGGGCCCTGGCTGTGGGACAGGACCGCACCTGTGATGGGGAGTCTGGCATGGACTTTCTAGATCACACTGTGGAGGCCACCATCCAGGGGACACAACAGGATTCTGAAAATAAAGGGCAGAGCTGCCCTAACACACAGCCCTCCGCTCCCCAGGTCTCCTCAGTACTTGGCACCCTGTGTGATGTCAGTGTCTGGGAAAGGGAACACAGTTTCCACAGCTGCCTCATTTGTTGCTGCAAGAAGAAAGCCGGCGGAGTGACTCAGATGGTTAAGAGCTCGCTCAAGAGTGTGAGCTCCGAGCAACAGCGGTTCGATTCCCGGCCTGAGCTGAGCAGGCACTGAGCTGCCAACAGGTGGCAGGATGGCTCAGCTTAAAAAAAAGAAGAAAGCTTAACCCTGAGAGAGTCGAGTTCCATAAACAGGAAGCTAAATGGGGGCAGATAATAGTGCGGGTCTTTGATCACCAGTCTATCTCCAGCACAAACCACAGAAACAGACGCATGGTTGATGCTCACTATGACTGTGTTGGATGGATAGAAGGAAGGAAGGAAGGAAGGAAGGAAGGAAGGAAGGAAGGAAGGAAGGAAGGAAGGGCAGGTGGATGGATAGACGGATGGATGGACAGGTGGATGGACAGACAGATGAATGTGCTCCCAGGCCACAAGCTTATGCCACATTAAGCTTTCACAGGCAGCTCTGTATTACCCCTTCGGTCATATCTGTCACCATGGTACCCAGACTCTGACAGAGGGTCTCTGGGGTCTCATCAGCAAAGTAGAGGAAATAAGTCTTGCCTTACAATGAAACTAGAACTTGTAAGTGTCCTGGAAAAATTGCAATGGCTTATGTTGTCGCCTTCAGTATTAATGTATTAACCCGCACAATAAGTTCAGCTAAGGGGAGAGAGTATGCACACTGCTTTCTTTCAAAATGCAAGGAACTGGTCTCAGATGAAGAGGCCCCACCTCTCAGACACCAGATTTGTAAATACAATGAGGCCGTCATCACCACATGACCCTTCCTGTTACTCTCATGTGTGGGGGAGAAGTTGCTTTTTTCTTTTGTTTTGTTCTGTTTTAAGGAATCTCAAATCTTTCTAAGGATTAAACATTCTGTTAGTTCCTCGATTCACGTTCTGTACCTGGTGCTACTGACATCCAGACCCTTCACACGCCATTGTTGTGAGGATAGGTGATGTGTTCCAATGGGACTTCTTCCCATCCCTCACAATTACCAAGTCCCCCTCGCACGTCACCCGCCCTCATGTACAGTGTGCTTCGCCCAGCTCCGTCTGCTTCCTCATTTCCATCCGTATGGCCCCGAGGAGAGCCAGAGAATGGCAGATCGCTAGCTCGCTGGCTGCTGAGCTGGCGGGCTGGGACCCAGGGCTCCTCAGAGCACAGCCCAGGAGCAGGGCCTCGGGCATCCATGAGGGGCGTGCAGGCCGGAGCGCTCACGCTGGCAGCCACTCGCTGTTGGTCCCGGGGACCCCAGTCTCACAGAAAGGCCACATGCAGCTGCTCTTAGCTACAGGGTTCTGTGTGCCTGTAGGAAATGGACACAAAACTGAATGCAGTAGGTGCAAGTGGGGCTTAGAGCAGAAGCAGCACCACTTCCAGTCACAGGCCAGAGGGGACCAGCCCACCTGCTGTATCTAATACAAGGGCTGCCCACTGCCGTTTGGCCTGTGCTACTTACACAAACCCTTGGGGCTGCTGTGCCTCCATGCAAGGACACACACTGCACCCATGCGAGACACTCACTCACCAACTCTCGCACTCGCACACACGGACTCACACACGTACGCACGCACTCACATTCACTCTGACACACACACTCACTGTTATTCTCACACACTCTCACTCGCACAGGCTGACACTCCCACACTCGCCCTCACACACACACACACACCCATGCCCACTGTCACTCACACACACTCACACATACACACACACTGCACGTTCAGCCACCCACTCTCACACACCGTCACACACTCGCACTCCCTCACACACTCACCATCAGATTCCTGGCCCACATGCCTGCCCCAGGCTGCTCGCCCCCCGGGGTTCCCTGCCTGACCTCCCAACCCCCAAGTGCCAAAAGTGCCCTGTCCATCTCTTCAAGGGCAGCGCACTGGACAGGCCGAGCTGCTCACACAGCGGGTCCCCAGCATGCCCAGGCCCCTACGCCACGATCTTTGTCATCCTGGCACAGGAACCTAAAAGAACGTTGGTGTCCAGCTCAGCCCTTTTAGTCATGACACACGTAAGACAGAACTTAATCTTCCTGTTTCAAATACTCCCTGAAATATTTTTCAATTCTGCTTCTGAGCTGAAAAAGCAAGACAGCGTAAACTTTATGAGAACGGATCTGCTACTCAGATTTATATAGATACATACAGCTCTATTGATCCAAGGGAGCTGCAAGAGCCTCGGTAATGAAAAAGAGGGAAACGGCCGTGGACAGCGCGGGGTCCTTTAAGCCGGCCCTGAAGCTCTGGAGCTTGTAGGATCACGGGGATCAGACTGTGAAAGAGAACCAGGTTTGCGACACGTGACTTCAAACAGGGTTTAAGCCCTTATCCCGCAGATTGTTGTTGATTGCGAAACACCACACTGAGGCTGGGGCCTCCTTTCCTTTTTGTAGCGAAGGCCATGTGCGATTCCACGGAACCGTCTGGCAATCTAAAAATATCCAGCAAGCGCACCAGGCTCCTCTGAACTGAGAGTGCTTTCAGTACGAAAGTCACTGTCTGTGCCTTTGGAAAGCCCACCCCCCACCCCCCCAGCAGAAAACCGGGTTCATCCCACGTGAGCGTATTCGTGACTGTCAGCACACTGCATTGTTGCAATCCATTGGTGGCTTATTCATGAAACCCCTCCTCTGGGAGCCATATGGCCATTATAGCCTGGCACGTTAGCGGGCACATAACGGCCTGAGAGCCCGAGGGCCTTTCTGTCCAGGAAGCTGGTAGCGTTGGAGAGGGTGCTAAACTACATCACCACAGTGCTTGAAAAACTGACTTCCCAGCACAGCTCCTGCAGGCCCGCCTTACGCGGGTGGCCTACCACGGGGACAGTGTGTGATGGGCAAGGCCACTCCCTTCTGTGTATGGTTTCTTGAGCCATTTCCTAATATTTTATTTTAATAAAGTGATGGGAAGCAACATCATTGTGAATTATACCCTTGGATTCTTTCTAACACCCATGGATGACTCAAATGACGTTATATGGGACAAAAAATAGTCCTGTAGTCATTTCTGCCAAAAGCATTCACACGACTCTGTCGTCTTCCTCTTGCCCCATCTGTATTCAATGTGCAACCGCACTGTTTGTTGACCTTCTGGCCAGTGGAGGGCATATGTCTCATCAGCCCCCAGGACAGACCCCAGCCCACAGACTCAGCCAAAGTGCCTTTGTTAAATAAAAACTGGAAGGTTCTTCAGTGTTACAAAAGCAATGCATGCTCATCATTAATAATGTCAGAAAAACTGTAAAAAAAAAACAAAAGGAAACAAAAGACAGCAGCCACAATCCCACATAGCTGGAGGTGGGATTTTTGACTCATGGCTGTAGAGCTTTCTGGATACTTTACACACACACACACACACACACACACACACACACACACTTTCTAACAGAAATGGGTTTGTATCCATGTGCTGAGCTGCCAGTTTTCTCCCCTTAATCATACACCACAAACATCTTTGCATTTCTCTAGTGCCATGTTTAATGGTGACCCGACACCCATTCGCGAGGATGTGCCGTGATTTATTTAAATATGTATCTTATATTTATGGTGACAGTTTTCCTGCAGCCTAATTTTCTTGCTACATTCATGACGTTTGTCTAGAAAACAAAATTCCTAGAGGAGGAAGTTCGAGGGTCAAAGCATGTTTTTAAAGCTTTGCCTACAAGCATTTTCCTCAGGTCTAAGAAGCACATTTTTATATATTTTAACATTTCTGAAATCAGGGTAACATTTTAAATCGATGTGGATGTTTACAATAACAGTGTTTTGGTTTTTTTTCTTTTGTCAAGCCGGTATTAAATTAAAGGTGCTTTTTAAGATGAATGTCATCTTAGAATTAAGCCACCCAGTACAGTGAAATCACCTCCCAGAAAGCAGCTGTGCACTGAGGGGTCCCTCCTGCAAGCAGAGTGGGGTAGCCCACTTCCCCAGGCCCCTCCTCTTTTCACCTTTGCCAAATGATAAGCAGTATTATTTCCTGTTCATCAAGTTAGTGCATTTCTATATTTATGAGTCACTAACAATTACCATTAGTGTATTTCTTAGAAATTGTAATACTTTTAGTATGATTTTGACTCCGTAGCATAAAAAATTGTGAAGCCGCATTTATAAAAATACAAAGAAATTTTAATGACAGATATAGCATACTCATTATAGAGGCTTTTATATGAATATACTTTACATTAAATTAAAATAACCTCAATCTTAAAAGTAAATTTCTCTAAAGTTCCATTTTTATTAAAAATGTCAAATGACTCTCAAGCCTTGCTTGACCCACACGCATACCATCCCCAATGCAGTAGGAAGTTTTGTCCTTACCCGAAACACCAGCGCCCAAGCCTCCTTCCTTCATTCTAGCCGCCTTCCCACATGCTTCGGGGATGGAGTAATTGTGCTGGCATCATAATTCCTTGTGTGAAAAATGATTACAGATTTGCAGATTCCAGATTGTGCTGACAGCGTTGAGCATAGTTCGGTGTGCAACACAGATCGACAAAAACAAGTTGTACTTCAATTTCAACGTTGCTCGCCAGTGAATGTGATGAGAATCCATTTTCCTTGAGTGGAATAGAAATGTCTGGGGGATAAAGGAGTTTGGGAATCGCTTACTGAAAGTCGCATTATCGGCACTAGCCTAAAAGGCATTTCCTTTGAGCTAATACTGAGAAGCCACTTTGCTGTGATCTGTAAGGCATTGCACTCAGGGTGCTGCCGCTCCCAATATTACAAAGCGTGACTTAGGTCACAGATCAAAAGAACAGAGTAAGAGGCCCCTATCAAGTCACAGCGATTTAAGCATTAAAAAGGGTTTGTATATACTGAGCTGGCACCTCACTCCGAAAGAACTTGGAATCAACCTACCTTACATTTTTTATGGATTTGAGAAATAGCAAAAATATGCTGATAGAGGCTTCCAGCTCCTTCAAGGAGCATCAAACTGAACTGAGAGAGAGAGAGAGAGAGAGAGAGAGAGAGAGAGGGAATTGGACACTAAGTGGGAAGATTTCATTATAAATGCAAGAATTCTGTCAAATCAAATTGCAGGTATTTGAAAAAAATAAAACGTAGAGGTCGTGAGAGCCATTCCTGTCCACAGACTGTTTACTAGGTTTTCTAGTTAGTGGGTTTATTCCCACTGTGAACCTGTATCAGATATACGTTTATTTTAGATTCTTGACACTAACTTAACATTCTCCTCCAGCAAACTAAAGTGTATTTTCAAAACTGACAGTAGCAAAAATCTACTTTAAAAAAAAAAAAGCCTACTAACTGCCACATTGAAAGCAACAGGTGCAGACTTGCCATCACTCTCCTAATCCCCTGTCACCACTTCCTTAATCGCCCGGCTGTGAAACTAGGAACAGGAGCCTGTTGGGCCGTGAGCCCAGAGGGCCCTTGGTTCCTGTTCCCGTCCCGAGAGCCCCACCAGAAATGCTGGTTATGGAGGCCCACTCCTGAGTAAAGGAACTCCGTGGAATTGCAGCTGCCACAAATAAGTAGCAACTGTAAAAAAAAAAAAAATAAGTATAGGAGCAAATGACAAGCGACAATTAATGGCCTTTTTCCCCAATCCCAGTGTAAATCTTGTCATTGTGTGACAAAGCCTGTTTCACACCATGCAATTTATTCTTGGTCTGTACTGAAGGAAAGGGCTGCAAGATACTCAGGGACATAAATCAGTATCCGGGTTAACAAGTCACAGAGCTGAAGGAGATGGTAAGAAGCAGTTTTATCATTTAGTCAACCTCCCTGCTTTCAATGAGAATAAAAAGTGATAAACCTATGTCAGACCACCCCAATGGGAGAAGAATTAATTCCTTTTTTTTGTTTGTTTGTTTTTGTTTGTTTTTTTAAGAATCCAAAGGAGATTATACTTTTCTGCTGGAACTCCAACCCAGTATTTACGATGTTGGACTCCTATATTTTTTAGAAATACGTTGGCGCTGAGTTGAAAGAGGATGTCAGTTCCTCTGTAGCAATAAAGGGGAAGGTGTGACCATCTGCGTGGTTTCGGTGGCTTACTTGGAATGAGCATGTCACTCCTCAGACACACAGCCTTCCCGTGAAGAACACTTCACTGTGGCTCATGTCGTTGTGCAGGGAGTGAAATACACCAGGATACCTCATCCTGCACAAAAGTCTTTCTGAACACGGAGGCGCAGAAATGTGTTATTGCGGGTAATACACACAGAGGAAAGTCCTAACACATTCTGTTATCCCAATTTTGGATTTTAACTACCTGGAACTTGCCGGTGCCGTCAGGGTCATTGAGACAGGAAGCCACATTCAAGCTCTAGGTGAGCTCACTGATGCTAATAATCTTGGCTCGATTTGCCCTGTTCTCATCTCAATCCGATTTTTCCTTCAATGACTGAAGTGTCACGGGGTTGTGAATTTGGCCGGATGGCTCCCCTGTATGTGAGGATCTCACCCCCGTCAGGGCACTTACGCATTAGAGTGTAACTGTTTGCATAGGCATCTGGTTTTCCTCTTTCCACCTTCCTTGAATAAACCTTAGTCAGCACCTGCTCTGGGCCGAGGGACCACAGAGTGAGCACCACGAAGCTCTTGCCCTCAGGGAGCTTGGGTCTAGAGGGATCATGGGTAGGGAAGCTCACAGTGTAGGTGATGGGGATGAGGACCAGGCAGGTAGAGGGCAGTGAGCAGCTGGAGAACCAGGCTTGGACGGAGGGAGTCTCCCCAGAGTGATTGCCTAGTTGAGAATCAAGGTACCGCCGTTATGTGTTAGCTGGGCCAAGGAGCCTGGGGAGACAGCTCGGGTGTGGCTCTCCGTAGATGAAGCCCCCCAGAGGCCATCCTTCCCTCTGTTCCCCTGTCCTGGCCCAGCACTGCCCAGTGCCACCAGCCTCCCGACAGACAGGTGCTTGTGGAATGAAGGAATGATTGCATTCCAAAGTTGACTGTTTCCCCACGGGATCGTAGCAAAGGTTCCTTGATGAGCTCTTAGCCTCTTGAAAATTTGATTCTAGCCACAGACAAAACATAGGATTTCAAAGAGAAAGGTATTAGATCATTATAATTATCCCTAAAAAATGTTCACTAAATGCTCTTTCTGCTTGGCATAACCCAAGGTGTTGAGGAATTGTTTTAATTACAGAATAATATTATGTCCCAACGTTAGCTAGGCTGCCAGAAGGAAAGGGTGCCTTCCACCACAAAGATGAGAAAGCCAGTGTGTACGGCCTCAGGGCACTAAAGTTGCCTGTCACTGAACCAAGAGGGAGGAAAGGGGCCCCGCAGAGCAAACCCTTCTTGCTCTTCTGTTCATCATTATTTGGCTTCATGAATGGATGTCTCTTGTGCTACAGGACAGAAAGGGGTTGGCTATGAAGCAGCAACCTAGATGACATTTCATTTCACCCCCCTGTGATCTGCCTTATCTGAGCCGCTCCGGGACCCACAGTCCAGGTGCTTGCTCTTTGCTGCCACTTAATTAGCTTGCTTCCTCCTTCCCTAGCAAAGCAATAAAATCAGGAGGCAAAAACCATGGGGGGCGGGGGGAGAGCCTTCTGAGCCTGGTTCTGCTTTGCACGTTAAAAGACACCGCGAGCTGCGCTGCGAGCTGCGTGTGGAGAGAACACTTCCTCAGGGCACCAAAGGCATTTGGCGTCCGTCAGTTCACAGCGCCCCCAGGCGGGCACTCTCTTACCTAACACCGTCTTGGAAAGTCGCCCTGAGGAGGGTGGGGCTGCTGTCAGGACCTCAGAGGGGGTCAGCTCTCTTAAGTGTTGGGCTGTCACAGTGTCTGCAAGTCGGGCACAGATGCCTGTTGGGGAGGATATCGTGGGAGGCGCCCCATCATTATTTAGCAGCCAAGCCATGAATATACTTAAACATAAACAAAAGCGTCACATGCCATGTGCCCACAAGAACTTTGTGTAGTGACGCGCACATGGAAAGCGTTCGAGAAGTTTCTGAGATTTGCTTCCGCCTGTCATTAGCGTGTGCATAACTTCAAGGTTGCAATCCAAGACACGACTCTAACTCCTGTCATTCGCCCCTTAGTGCTGGTCTTAGGGTGACCTTTCCCTGATTCACCAGAGCTACGTAAACTACTGCAGACCGAAGGCCTGTTGCTAAACCACGGGACGAGGGCTCCAGCCTGACCCTACACACCTACCAGCAGGAGTCCTTCCAGACCCCTTGGTTGGCTGCGTCATGAGACAGCGGTCATACCGGGTCAAGCAATTTGCCTCCCATGGGGGGTTTCGGCAGCTTTACATCTACGCGTGTAAGTGCATCTTCTAATGTCACTTACACAAAGGGTCTGCTGCAGACATTAGGAGCGATGTTTGTTCGCAGCAGCGCGGCTCAGCTGTCCACTCCGTGATTAATGGCCTGGGCGCTATCTGTCCTTGGTACAAGATTTGACAAAGGGAGCAGGCAGGTCCCAGAGACACCAGGAAAGTTAGAGATAAGTCAGCTCTGTTTGTTGGCTTTCTTTTAACAAATAACTCAGACTGTGGCAGGAAAATTCTCTCCCTGTAGACAGTCACACCTCATTTGCTTTAATTTGACTGATTTTCTGTATTCTGCACCTCTTCCCTACACCACAGCGCAAAGTGGGCCTTTCAAAGGCTAAAAATAAAGAGCAAACTTTATCAGAAAAAAAGCTGAATTTCTTTCCATTAACCTCTTAATTCCCTGTCTTCTCTATGTCCCTCACCTCATCTTGTTCTACTTATGCCATAGCGGGCACCTAAACTGGCCACCTACCTCATCCAAGTAGCCCTCGGACTCGAGGGCTTCCTGGAACTGCATTGTCCAAGTGGCAGCCGCCAACCATGTGAGGCAGCTGAACGCGGGGACTGTGGCTGGTCCGAACTGAGATGTGATATGAGCGTAAAATACACCCCAGATAGCAAAGAGTTTGGTGGGGAAAAAGGGAAAATAACAACGCTTTTTGTATTGATTACATGTTGAAAGGACTAGTTTGGATCTATTGGTTTAGATAAAATATGAAAATTTACTTCATCTGTTTCTTTTTTACTTTTTTCATGTGGCTCCTAGAACATTTAAAATTACTCCTATGTCTAACAGACAGCTCTGTCTAGACTGTGTCCTTCAGCCAACGGCTTCAAAACCAAAAAGGAAACGGCGGCAGGACCTCACCGGCAGAGCCTACCCCAGCAGGGTTATTAGTGATTCACCCCCACTATCCAAAGTTGATTTTCTGAGTGACCATTTTCTCCCACCACCCTGACTCCCTAACTAGCTGTGCAGCGGGCGCTTGCAGCTTCCAGCTCCTGGGGCACCCAGCCTGGACACCGCAGCCCCTGCTCCTGTCCCCACCACCCGCCCAGAATCCTACAGCCTTCCACAAAGCCACGCCTGCAGCCCCGACCCTCGCTCTAGCTCCAGTCCCCAGCCCGGGCCTGGGAGCCACCCCCTCTGCTTCTCTACGGCACCCCCAGCTCAGTGGTCCAGGGTGAGAGGAGCCATAGTCCCCTGAAGGTCCCCAGCACTCACGCTGTCCAAACGCTGGACTTAACACTATTCGGGGACCTATCATTTGAGCTAAAACTCAACCAGGTGTCCTTGTACCCTCCACTGTTTCCTGGAGACCTAGCCTGACTGCCCAGGCTAGTGGGTGCTCACGCCCTGTGCTCCCCCAAACCTTGTCCGTGACAATTAGTACACAGC